CGTGTTCGCCAGGGTGGTCTCGATCTCCTGACCTCGTGATCCGCCCGTCTCGGCCTCCCAAAGTGCTGGGATTACAGGCTTGAGCCACCGCGCCCGGCCCTATCTTTTTTTTTTTAGACAGAGTTTTGCTCTGTGTCCTAGGCTCCATTGCAGTGATGGTTTACTGCAGTCTTGAACTCCTGGGCTCCAGCAATCCTCCCACCTTGGCCTCCCAAAGCACTGGGATTACATGCACATGGCGCAGTGCCCAACCTTGCCTCTTGTATCTTTAAAAAAAATTGTAATTAGTTCAATTATTAATTAATTAATTAATGATTTTTGAGATAGGGTCTCATGCTGTTGCCCAGGCTGGAGTGTAATGCCGCATTCATGGCTCACTGCAGCCTCAAACTCTTAGCCTCAAGGGATTCTCCTGCCTTGGCCCCTCGAGTAGTTGGGACCACAGGCACGAACTACCATGTCCCATGTCTAGCTAATTTCTTATTTTTTATAGAAATGGGGTCTCCCTCTGTTGCCCAGGATGGCCTTGAACTCGTGGACTCAAGCGATCCTTCCACCTCAGCTTCCCAAAGTGCTGAGATTATAGGTGTGAGCCACCACACCAGGACAACCTCTTGTATCTTAAAAATGACTAGCAAGGCCGGGCGTAATGGTTCATGCCGATAATCCCAGCACTTTGGGAGGCCATAGGCGGGCGGATCACAAGGTCAGAAGATTGAGACCATCCTGGCTAACATGGTGAAACCCCGTCTCTATTAAAGATACAAAACATAAGCTGGGTGTGGTGGCACGCGCCTATAGTCCCAGCTACTTGGGAGGCTGAGTCAGGAGAATTGCTTGAACCCAGGAAGCGGAAGTTACAGTAAGCCAAGATCGTGCCGCTGCACTCCAACCTGGGCGACAGAGGGAGACTCCGACTCCGTTTCAAAACAAACAAATAAACAAAAATCTGACTGGCAAAACCTAGGGGACTTTCTCCCTCTACAAGCTGAATCTTTATTAATTCATTCATTCACTCACTCCATGAATATTCATCAAATTCCTGCATCCAGCTTCGTACACACCATTTTATTGAATCTTCACCACAGCACGATGTTGTGGCTATTTTCTCCCAGTTTTGCCGATGAGAAAACTGAGGCTTACAGGAGTTGTTACTTCCTGGAGTTCCCCCAGCTTTGGGGTTTGAACACAGGTCTGTTTGACTCTAAATCTGAGTTTGCTGAGGGCCTCCTGTGGAGCAGGCAGGGTGTTGGGGTCACAGAGGGGAGCAACAGGCTTGGTACCTGTTCACATTAAAGAAGCGACAAGAGACCAGGCATGGTGGCTCACGCCTGTAACCCCAACACTTTGGGAACCCAGGATGGGCAGATCACTTGAGGCCTGGAGTTTGAGACCAGCCTGGCCAACATGGTGAAACCCCATCTCTACAAAAAATACAAAAATTAGCTGAGCATGGTGGAGCACATCTGTGGTCCCAGCTACTCAGGAGGGTGAGAAAAGAGAATCTCTTGAACCCGGGAGGCAGAGGTTGCAGTGAGTGGAGATTGCGCCACTGCACTCCAGCCTGGGCGACAGAGCGAGACTCCACCTCAAAACAACAACAAAAAGAAGAGACAAGAGGTCATTACAGTGAGGTCTGATGGCTGCATTTTTTTTTGAGATGGAGTCTTTGCTCTTTTGCCCAGGGTAGAGTGCAGTGGCACGATCTCGGCTCACTGCAACTTCTGCCTCCCGGGTTCAAGCGACTCTCCTGCCTCAGCCTCCCTAGTAGCTGGGGCTATAGGTGTGTGCCACCATGCCTGGCTAATTTTTGTGTTTTTAGTAGAGATGGGTTTCACCATGTTGGCCAGGCTGGTCTCGAATGCCTGACCTCAAGCAATCCACTTGCCTCAGCCTCCCAAAGTGCTAGGATTACAGGCATGAGCCACAGTGCCTGGACTTTTTTTTTTTTTTTTTTTTCTTTAAGTAAAGATGGGGATCTTGCTGTGTTGCCCAGGCTGGTCTCAAAGTCTTGGCCTCAGGTGATCCTCAGACCTCAGCCTCCTAAAGAGCTGGGATCACATGTGGGAGCCACCACACCTGGCCTGATGGCTGCTTTGTGAGCTCATAAAGAGACGTGACCTAGTCAGGCAACTTAGGGTGGGCTGCCTGGCAGAGGTGATGAGTGTTGTGATCTGAATGGTGAGGATGCCAGATGGAGGAGGCTGGGGAGGGCACCCCAGGCAGAGGGCACTGAATATGCAAATCCCTTCATGTGCATATCCCACTGACACATATTTCACTGGATTACATATCCCACTGATGCGGGAACTTCACAGTGTGTTCAAGGAATAGTGAGATGATCAGGGTTTTTGTTTGTTTGCTTGTTTTTTTTGTTTGTTTGTTTGTCTGTTTTTGTTTTTGAGACAGGGTCTTGCTCTGTTGCCCAGACTGGAATGCAGTGTCGTGATTGTGGTTCACTGTGACCTCCGCTTCCCAGGTTCAAGCGATTCTCCTGCCTCAGCCTCCTGAGTAGCTGGGATTCCAGGCGTGTGCCACCACACCCGACCGTTTTTTTGGTTTGTTTTTTTGTTTTTGTTTTGTTTTCTTAGACAAGGCCTCTCCCTTTCACCCAGGCTGGACTGCAGTGGCTCAGTCATGGCTCACTGTAGCTTCCATCTTCTGGGCTCAGGTGATCCTCCTACCTCAGCCTCCTGAATAGCTAGGACTACAGGCATGCGCCACCACGCCCGGCTAATTTAGAGATGAGTTCTCACTATGTTGCCCAAGCTGGTTTTAAACTTTTGGGCTCAGGCGATCTTCCTGCCTTGGCTTCCCAAAGTGCTGGGGTTACAGGTGTAAGCTACCATGCCTGGCCTTTTCTTTGGGGGGAGGGGGGTTGGGGTGGGGTCTCACTCTGTCACCTAGGCTGGAATGCAGTGGCACAATCACGGCTGACTGTAATCTTCAACCTCCTGGGCTCAGGTGATCCTTCCACCTCAGCCTCCTGAATAGCTAGGACCACGATCACCACGCCCGGCTAATTTTTTAATTTTTTCGTGGAGACAGGATCTTGCTATGTTGCCCAGGTTTGTCTCAAACTCCTGACCTCAAGTGATCTGTCCTCGGCCTCCCAAAGTGCTGGGATTACAGGCGAGAGCCACGGCGCCCGGCCAGAGGTGGTCAGAGTGGCTGGAGCAGAGGAAGGGAGGAGAGAGAGGAGGGAGACCATTGGAGGAGGGATGGAGGAATCTGATAAGCAAGGGTTCGTCTGAGATTCTTTGGGGAGCCTGACGTGGC